GTCAATTTTTTTGAAAAATGAAATCAAGGAAGGGGGGAAGCGGATTTTATTTGTCTGGTCAATGTTAAATAAAAATCGTGTAAAAAGAGAGAACATTAAAATTGAATTCTTGAAATCGTGAATTTTTCATATTATCGATCAATGTCGATTTGAAATGAATTATCATCGTATCATGGGCAACAATACATTATTTTTTATGACTCTATCTTTGGGAGTAGGTAAAGTTTCGAGTTGCGTCAAAATGGATGAGTTGCCCATTGCTACCTATAATATACAACACTTTTAACTAAATATTTTCTATAACAAAGAGATAAAATTAATTAATTAATTTGATTGATTGTTGTTGAAAATTTGTCGAGATTTCTATCAAAACTTATCCTTACTTCGCTTTACATTCGTAAGATGACTAAGTCTGTTCACAAGTAGAATCGTAATTTGTAAAATTATATCTTGCGCAGGAGGCCTTTGGATAGACCCATCTTTTATTATACCGATCGAATCAGAATCATTATCTGAATTGATCTAAACTTCTGTCTGTCTGTCGGTCCATGTATATTTGTGTTCAAGCTACAGGTCACAATATCTGATATATTGTCGTGTTTTTATCCAAGGACGAACGCTATTGAAAATAGTTCGGATTGGTCCAATTTTTCGACCACTTCCCATGTAACGCCCTATTCTGAAAAATTGTTGTTATCATATCGAAAAAAATTGCATTTTTTCAAATTTGTCGGCATAAGTGGCTAAGTGGGAGTAGAGTTTCGGCATTCTAAATTGGGGCAATTTTTGAATCTCCTCTGATATAAGGGAAACGATTATAATTTTCACTAATTCATGATGAAAATTATATCAGAATAGTAATTGAACATAAAAAAAAATTAATTGTTTTAATTGTTGGATCATCTCGGCCCATTTTTTCACTTCTATCCTAATAAGGATTTTCACGAAAATTGATCCTGCGTGCAGCAGAGAAGTCTAAGTTTTAATATGTGGCGATGAAAATCGATCCACAATAGCAATTTCGTACAAAAATGCGAATTGTGTTAGGCAATTTAGTGTAGGGAATTTAATGGTCGTCCTTGCCCGACTATAAATATTCTTATTTGATTTCTTTTAAGTTATTCGCGTTATTTTCGCGTGTTTGAGTCACGTGCTATGGTGATTGCACTAAGAGAACTGATTAATGTCTTGCCACCTATCAGGATATGGATTGATCGTAACTCGCATTACGCTTAGCCCGTAAACTGACCGACACAAGAACATTAAAAACCTAGAGCGTAGTCCGTGTTAAGCCGACACTTAACATGGAAATTTCTTGACTCTAACCCACAAATTGATATTTTTTTAAAAGTTGTCACTAAACGTTTCACTTGACCAATCCAGCATAAGTAAGGCTGATATTCTTAAGACTTGAGTTTAAATAGCCCGTTCTTTCCAATAATGTTGATTTATCCTTTATCACGTGGATTTTTGGTGAGTGAAGTGATATTAAACTTGGATTAGAGTAAATTACAATTAACGAGATCATAAGTCTGGCCTTATTTGGTTTGTCAATACACACAAAGATATTCTTATTTTTCATTTAGGCGTCAATTGATTTAGTTTTTTACCCAAATTGACTCTCGTTTCTTAATTTGATTCTATATGTGCTTTGTGCTCTCCAGTATGGCGACCATTACTATCGCCATCTATTGTCATTTTTTCACTACAAAATTACTCTTCGAAAGTAATGAGACTTTCTATATATTCAGACTTCATGATCACCAGTTTTATTAAAATCGCTGTACGCATAACGAAACCAAACTAACCAAGTATTTCCTAATTTCTGATGCGCCACACGCTTCTCTAGCCACATAAGTCGTTTTTCTCTCACATACTGTGGATAGTAGAGTAATGTCATGGATTGTGAATGAAATGAGTGAGTCAGGGCAAATCATAGAAAGAATAAAATTTTTCATAGTTAGCTACTTATTATTATTCGTTTTATCGACCAGGTGGTGGTTAGGCTTTCCAATATTTTTTTCTCACTCTCCTCTTCATACATTTCAGCATCAGGACTTATTAATGTTATTATTAATATTATTATTATTATTTTTTGCCAGAGAAATAATTTCTAAGATTAAAGTCATTTTATAGCACAAGCATGCATCATCTACGGCTATCGCCTTTTATTGAAAACTCTACCATACTTGAGACTTAAATCCCATGACCATGGAACTTGTTAGTCGAAATCGTTTAGCTGCTCGGCCATTACGATTTAAAAAACATACATATAAAGAAAATATAATTAAGAAAATTACAATTAAATATAACTGATGCCTCGAACCTCGAACCAATGCCGTGAGCCTATAAAAGCCGACACATTGTTCTCTTACTTTAGTTTTATTCGACTTGGGCTCTGGATAAGCGCACTAAAAATTCAATAAATTATTTGATAATCCTCTGATGTGATATTCTAATAAAATGGGACCGGGATCAGTTATTGTTTCGTTTTCTTCTTCTACCCAGAAAAGTAAAGTTACAAAAATTCGCTTTTGTTAGACAACAAATGTACGGAAATCCGAATTTCTTATTATGTTTCCTAATGAAAATTAAACTACGTCTTCAATTTTATTTCGATTTTTTCGATGGAGAAATATTTCAAATTTCAAATTTATTCACGTCGAGCGTGTATTTCGCTTCTTAAATGTGGCATCAAAGAAATATATCGGACGCCGTCAATTACCGTAGTAAAAAATGCACTTTAACGTTACGTGGAATTGTTCGATTTTATCTAATCGGTGGCAAATCGATTTCCTGGCCAGCATACGGAGTAACTTGTGAAGACTCCTAAAAATGCAGATTAATCAGTTACCAGCTATTTTGCAATCTATGTTACTAGGAATGCATTGCGACTGTATGCGTTTCTGGCTGTCGTCTGAAAAAGAAATGTTGCTATGAAATGAACCTAATACTCATCAACAATGACGCCGAAAAACAAAAAAAAAAAAAGAAAAGATTCCAAAGGATCCGCAAATTTAATGCGAATGCTTCAATGCTCCTCCGATGCCTGAATTATTTCAATTTGTACGCAATGCAGTTAAGGATGATTGTGCCAAATGCTGTAAATATTGATGCGCGGAGAGTTGAATCGTTCTGAACGATTCTTATAAGGTGTCTTTGGCTCATAAGGAACTTTTCCGTCTATTACGATCCTAATATCAATGCTCGTTATGATAAGATTTATAAAACATTATTTTTATGGCGATCGCTATGCGAATTTCCAGAAATGCAGCCGAAGAAAATGCTCACTGGTTTCTTGAAATAAATTCAACTACACTATTCTGTAGCGGAGCATGGGGGTGGGTGGTCCACATAATATCATCCTAGAATTGTTCATATAACGACTTTTCAGGATAATACGTTATATGAGAAGTGGCTCCCAAAAGCTGATCTGATCTAAAGCATTTTCAATGTTTTTCGCCCCTTGGGCCGAAGCTCGTTAGTGTCGTCGAATATCACTTAAATATCTAAAAATTGACAATTGGTAGGTTAAACGCAGGAAATGAAAATAGACGGACGAGCGGACGGACGGACGGACCAGCTTCGATTGATATAAAAGTGTTATTCTGAATCAACCGACATAATAATACGAGATTTGCCGCAAAAGTACTTCTGGATATTATATATAGCACTTGTAACACAAGCAATATATATAGCACTTGAAACACAAGCTTGTAACACAAGTGCTATAGGGTATAATGAATTATTGAAATGTTGATGAGAAGGCGTAATTGAAAATATTTTAGATTAGCCTATAAATATACCACAAAAAGAAAAAAAATTCTCGCGTATCTTTAAAAGCAACATTCCTGATTCAAAAAAAAAAAAATAAAAAATAAATAAATAAATAAATAAAAAAAAAATAAACTTAAAAAAAGAAGGAAAAAAGAAAAGCAACGCATAACTTATCTACTTATCATCACCTATATCCACATTCAATTTTCAATTGCTTGATTTAATTTTTTTCATAAAAATAATTCTCTTTGTATTTGCAAAAAAAAAAAAAGAATAAAACTCACAACCTTTCCACAATATCCGATACTACAATTTCCCGAAAATCATTATCATATTTAGCTAACAAAAATAATTTCTGTTAAATAAAAACCGCCATACGCATAAAAAGTCGGTACTTAAATGCATACATATATAGATTCATATAATATATATATAATAGATGTCGTGTTTAAAAATGATTTTATTTTAATTTCAGAATAAATTTATTAAATAATTATACTTAAGATTATATTTCGTTTTTTTTTTTCTTTCCTTTTTTCCTCTCGTTTGTTTTTCTTTTACAATTTTCTTTTTTCTACCGTTTTTTCTTCTTCCGTTTCATTCCATGTGTTGACGCGCGATTGAATGTTACAAAAAAAAAAAAAAAAAATGAATTGAAAAACCAACACAACGACTATGACTCGTATGCGTGTGTGTGTGTGTTTGTGTGCGTGCCTGTGTGCCTGTAATGTGTTTTTCCGTCCCTACTGTTTCTTACTAACTCCCTTCTCTTACTCACTCACTCAATCTTTAAATCTCTCTGTGAAACTACAACAACAACAACAACTGCTACTATTACTACTACTTCTACTACTACTACTACTTCTACTACTACTATTACTACTACTACTACCACTACTACTACTACTACTACTGCTGATCCCGGCAACGATGTGCGTGTTCGTTTCAATTTTAATGCTGGTATTTATGCAAATTATTATTTTCGTTAAATTAATTGTTGGATTTTTTTTTTTTTTGATTCTGTGTATTTTTTTTATCTACAACAACTACTACAACAAACTGTATGTTTTGATGTGTTATATTCGGATTTAAAAAAAAAAAAAAAAATTTTCTTTTACTTTTTTTGAAAAACAATGTTTTGTTCCATTTTCTTGCGTTTGGTGCTGATCGTTTCCTTCCTCGTCTTCTGCTTTACGCGCTACTGTCTGCTTTGAATTGTGAAGCGTGGTGGCGTTGGCGGCGGTGATCAAAACAAGGATGATGAGGCTGAAAATGTCGATACAATTCCAAATCGCGTTTAAAAAATAAATAAACAAAACAAAAGAAAAAAAAGAAGCATTAGTCAACCATGAGATCAAACCAGATTTTTTTTTTTTGTTTCTCTTAAATTTTCTTTTCTGTTTTCATCCTTATGTAAAACATTATTGTTAACATTACATTTATATATATATATATATATATATATAAATATATATATATACGTGTGTGTGTGTATATATGGATGTATACATATAAGACTTGATTTGGTTTTGTACGAAGGAAGGAATCACTTTTATTATATGTATCGATTTATTTTATTTTACTTTTACTATTATAGCGAATAAAGGATAGAGAGCTGTATCGATTTTTTCGATATCGACACTCGTCGTAATGAGAGTGATTGTTCTATCTATATTTGATATATTGATTGACTATTGATATATTGATAATATCCTCGTTGGTGTTTATGATGTTTACAATGCATACACATACATACAAACATCCATTGAACATTGAAAATATTACAAAAAAAAAAAAAAACAAACGAAAAGAAAATACAAAATAACAAACAAAAAAAAAAACAAACAAAACAAAAAAAAATTTATATAGAATTGTTCACAATCTCGTTTAGATTTAGTTATGGATAAAAAAAAAAAAGAAAAGGAAGAGTGCTTGCGCGTTCACAACAAACAATACACTTAACATGCATACATACATATATACATAAATACATACATTTATCGTAAATACATGTGTAGGTATCGTTTAATACTTAATTTAGTCGAATCAGTCAGTCAATCGTCCATCCGATTTTCGAATACATACGTGCGTCAGCCAGTTATTATCTGTTGTAGCGTAATTTTGTAACTTTATAATAATAAAAGTAAATCTTAAAACAATAATTATAATAATAGAGTTAATAAATAAATTTATAAATGAAACCATACAATGTCTTTTACTCGCTTGAAGAAAATGAAATTTACCGCACTTGGCAAGTGCAACTAGAAAGATTTATATATACGTGTATATATATATAAATATTTTTTTGCACACAATATATATAAAATTATTTATATTTATATATATTTATTATATTTATATATATATATACATATATATATATATATATATATATATATATATATATATATATTGTGTGCATAATGTATCCGGAACAGTTAAATAATCAAAAAAAAAAAAAAAAAAAAAATACAAGGAAATATTCACCAAAATTTATTTTGTCTCCTTCGATTCGTTGTAGGTCCGTTAGACCCATTATCACCACTTGCAGCGATAACTTACTAAGCATTTTATTGCGTTCTTCATTTATTCGTGCATTATTATAATATAAATTAAGTTGGACAGTTCCCTTCTGAAGCCCTCGACTAACAAATTACAGTGGGATGGTAGGTAGATATCTACCATTGTATTGTTAGAGTAGACCAAGGCTATTAACTTGTTATTAACTTTCAAAACGTAATTGTGCGGAAAAAGACACAATTCATAAATTTCATCACAAAACATTTCAAATAAGAAAAGAAAAGAATTAAGTGTAAAATAGCCATGATCCTCGTTTGTGGGACTCCATGTGACATATGGTAAGTTGAAGTCGCCCAAGACTAATAAAAAATCACAAGATTTGAGACGAGATAATACAAGCTTAATCAAGCGTACATGCTCTATGTAAATATAAACGTCGGACGTGGACAGTTATATAAAGATGGCGATGGTCATTAGTTTCAACCATAATACAGATAAGCTCCACGCCAAACGACTCGAAGAATGTAACAAAAATATTTTGATATAATTCGATTCGGCGTTTTTTGCCCCAAGGGCGATTTCCAATATAATCGCTTCTTTTAAAAACTCAGGATATGAGTAACTGAATAAGGCTAAGTCGTGTAGGATATTTAATGTTGGGTCTTAGCCGATTATAGTGTTTTTACTTATTGTTTTTCTTTCTTTTCCCGTTATTCGAGATAAGAGCGGACTTGTTTTGCGTAAACCGTCCCCAAAAGACGAGGACGGCGTAACTTCAGACGTAATGCGTCGGCGATTGGAATGATCAGGCCTTGAAAGCATGTTAGATATATGAATATGTAGCGCACTTTGATGAACGGTGACGCTTATCGATTGTGGATCGATCACTTGGTGATTTTGTTAACCGCGACCAAAACGGAAATCTTTGTATGGACTTTTCTAAGTGTCGAAACGAACTCGTGTCTCCGTAGGTTTCCTACATCTATGTATTATAGGCAGTACACAGTTGCTCTTCCAACAGGTTTTACTACAACGTTCCGGATTGACGATTCGCCTATTTTCTCTCCTAGGTTTTCCAATGGCCAACAAGAGGATAGGGTAACAATTCATTTCATTTACTATTCCGTCCCGAGCCCAGTTGATACAGGGTAGTCCGCACACTTTCATAATCGGATGACTACAAAAAACAAGTTTTTTTTTTTTTCATAATAAAAGGTCAGAAGTTAATATAACGCACTTTCGATCGGTCATCAGAAAGTGAAAGCTTCCTCCAAACACATAGAAGACCTTCTGCAATTCTGCAAAGTTTCAAATCTTACATTAAACCGGCGTTAGAGTTGTAAAAGTAAACCTTATACACTTTTACGATGGACAGACAACATATTGAAAGATGATGAATGATGAATTTCACCTTTTTTTTTTTACTTTTTATTCTGAATCTCGGAGAAATAAAAAACGCATATTCCTCTTAAGGATTTTTTTTATTATTTATTTAAATTACTATCTTTTAAGAGAATTATTTTTAAGTAATTTTATATATATATATACCTATACATACTTACATACACATATATATATATACATATATAAGTATATATACATATATATATATATACATATATTTTTAAATAATTTAAAAAAAACTCTTCGTAAAAATCGAAGAATTTTTCTTGTAATGCATTTTTAGTTTATTATATAAAAAAAAAAAAAAAAAAAAAAAAAATTTTATAAAAATTTGAATAAATTATTAATTGGAATCAAAAATTTCATGACGGAAGAGAGAGAAAAAAACAGAAAAAAACTGAATAAATTAAAAAGGAAGCTGTAAAAAAAGTTATCTTCTCCCTATGCTTTCATAATCAGAGCTAAAATCCAAATCAATTAACAATTATATCTGGCATACAAATTTACTCATAATATTTCTCATTTTTTGAGGCGGATTCAGTTTTGCGCATGGGTATGTGTATGTGTGTGTATGTATGTTTGTGTGTTTATGTGTACCTATATATATATATATGCATATATATATATATATATAAATCAGTCTGTTAGAAACTAAAGGAAAACTTGAACTCCTTCTACTTTACAGTTCGTCCTTTAGATCATCACTTTCTTCACCGCCGTCGGTTGGTGGTACGCCTCCTGCGCCTTGATACAATTTGGCTATGATTGGTTGTACAATTGTTTCTAATTCTTTCTTTTGCTTTTTAAATTCCTCAGGATCGGCATCGCTGTTTTGATCTAACCATTTAATGGTTTCCTCAATAGCTGCTTCCATTTTCGTTTTGTCGTCTTCACTCAATTTTGCGCCTAGTTTGTCCTTATCGCCGATTTGATTTTTTAAACTGTAAGCATAAGATTCGAGTTCGTTGCGTGATTCAACTTTTTCCTTGAGTTTCTTATCTTCATCAGCGAATTTTTCGGCGTCATGAATCATACGCTCAATGTCTTCAGGCGTTAAGCGATTCTGATCATTTGTAATAACAATCTTTTCTTTATTACCCGTTCCTTTGTCTTCGGCGCTCACTTGTAGAATGCCATTGGCGTCGATTTCAAAGCTTACCTCAATCTGAGGTATACCACGTGGCGCGGGTGGAATGCCAGTTAAATCGAATTTACCCAATAGATGATTGTCTTTTGTCATTGGACGTTCGCCTTCGTATACTTGAATGGTAACAGTGTGCTGATTATCAGAGGCAGTGGAGAAAATTTGTGATTTTTTGGTGGGAATAACAGTGTTACGCGGAATCAACTTAGTCATTACACCTCCCACAGTCTCAATACCCAAAGTCAACGGGTTAACATCGAGCAAAACAATAGCATCGGTGTCTTGTTCGCCGGATAGGACGCCGGCTTGTACAGCCGCTCCATAGGCTACAGCCTCATCGGGATTTATACCGCGTGAGGGTTCCTTACCGCCAAAGAATTCTTTTACCAATTGTTGTACTTTAGGTATACGGGTCGAGCCGCCAACTAAGACAATTTCGTGCACGTCCTTTTTATTCATATCGGCATCTTCTAAAACTTTTTGCACCGGCTTTAAAGTCGAACGGAACAAATCCATATTCAATTCCTCAAATTTAGCACGAGTCAATGTTTCGGAGAAATCTTCACCTTCAAAGAACGATTCAATTTCCAAGCGTACTTGGTGAGCGCTAGATAATGCTCGCTTGGCCTTCTCAACTTCACGACGTAGTTTTTGTACAGCACGATTATCTTTGCGAATATCTTTGCCTTTCTTTTTCTTGTAAAGTTTAATGAAATGATCCATGACACGCTGATCAAAATCTTCACCACCCAAATGAGTATCGCCGTTGGTTGCCACTACTTCAAATACGCCATTATCGATAGTTAGCAAGGAAACATCAAATGTGCCACCGCCCAAATCGAATACTAATACATTCTTTTCACCTTCTTTCTTATCCAAACCATAAGCAATAGCAGCGGCAGTTGGCTCATTAATGATGCG